GAGAGAGAGAGAGAGAGAGAGAGAGAGAGGGAGAGGGAGGGGGAGAGGGGGGAACTCACATCACAGTGGAGTCAGCTGTTAACCGTGGCTTGTGTACTGCAAACACATACCAGCTTCATCACTGTGTCTGTCACACGACTCTGTTCCCCTTTCGGGCTCTGTCTTTACATTTATTTTGAAAGATGAAGCTCGCGATTATGGTAAGCGGCGTTACATTTCCGACGAGTGCTTGTGGTGTTCGGCCAATCACAATGCACTGGGTCAGCTGGCCAATCAGAGCAGACTGCGCTTGTCGGAAGGAGGGACTTTGTAGAAAACGAAGCATTTGAGAGAGGCGGGGCATAGAGGACCTACAATAATGTTCAGTATTTGAAAAATAATGTGTTTTTTGAACATTAAAGCATGTCAACATATTCTGTTACACCAAATACACAAAATAATGATCTTTAAAAAAGCATCATATGACCCCTTTAACTACTCAGCTGTGAACTCTGCCTAATGTCTCAGATTAACTCAAGACAGGACTGCATCTGTCCTATATTTGTCTACGTTTTTGACAAATTTTTGTCAGGCATTAATAAGAGCAACAGAAAAAAAGTTTTTCCAACCATTGGATTTTATTTGAGATGTTTTGGGAAAAAGACTTAAATTAAATGTGTACATTAATATATGTAAAACATATCAAATAAATAGATAGTTATAATTGATTCAGTATTTTTTTTCATAATTAGTTATTTAAGTTTTGAGGTCATAAAGAAAATATTTGAAAAGTACTTATATATGCAATTTTTGTTATACTTTTACATTATTATTGTATGCATTTTTTTTTTTTTAGATACAGGCTGCAATACATATAGTCTGTTTTGATATACTAAAGAAATGCTTCTAATATATTTTCAATTTATTAAAATAAGTATAACATATTTTTTGTATATACTTTATACTTATAACATTTATAATAAATGTTTCATTTATTATATAAATATGTATTTTTTTTCTTTTAGAAGAATATAAATGACATATGGGCTATTTTGAGACCCTATAGAAAATACTATAAAAAATACTTTTATGTTTATATAAAGTTATAAAATACATAACATTGTATTTTTCAATTTTATTAACATACATTTTTTTTATATTTATATACTAAATGTACTTTTCAAATATTTGTATTATTTATTATGCGTATTATTATTACCTTTTTAATGTAGATTCCTAGATTTCTAGCATAATATAAATTTTTATTTTAATTCATAATTCATCATAATACT